CCCGCGCCGCCCGCGCCGGCCATGAGCGCGAGTGACGGCGAAGAGATGTGGTCCAGAAGGTCACCAGGCTCGAGAGCCTGGTGGTGGTGATGGTGGTGGTGGTGGTGAGCCAGCGGCACGGTGGACGTTGACGTGCATGGCACGCTGTTCATCGTGTGGTACGTGGCGTCCGGCTTGAATGGGTGGCTCTTGCCCTGGGACACGGCGATGTCCACGGCCGCCAGCGCCTCGGCCCGGGCCAGCAAAGTCTCGTCCAGGCTGGCGAAGAGGTTGCTCTGCAGCTGCAGGCGACACAAACCAAACCAAAAAACCACAAAACCAAAACAGAAAAAAAAAAAAAGAGAAAGCCGGAGAGCACGACAAGCAAAGGGCAAACACAAAGCAACCAAAATAACGTCAACGGGAGGTAGGAAGGAGTGCAGAGTGGGAAAAGCAGAATGGGGTACACATTGGGGATGAGGAAAGGAGAACAGACGAAAAGGTACAAGAGCATGGGGCGGGGCGCAAACGCAGGGTGAGGGGGACACAGGAACACAACCCAGGGACGGGGGTAAGGAGACGAAAAAGGGAAAAAGAAGAAATGTAGATGTAACTCGTAGCAAAGGAACCGTGTCACGCACCCGAGCACGCACAGAGACTGCCTTTTCGAGGCACGAAATTAACAGAGAAAGTGGAGGGAAGTCGAGAGTCATAGTCCCAGAGTTCCCCACTCTGTAGCAAGCGCCCGACCCAGAGGGAGAGGCGGACTGGAGTACGACATAAAGCGCTGGCGGACAAAACGTGCCTCGCAGCGGGATTCCTCGAAATATCCTTGCCCGCAATTCCCCACACCCAGACCAGTGCAAACACCAGCACCCAACATGCAGCGGCGGAGACAGGGAGGAGGCGAGAGCGCGAGCGGGGGCTGCGGACGTGGGGCGCTTACCGGCGGTGTGGGGAGGCAGGCCCTCCGGATGGCCTCGGAGCTGGAGTGCAGCGACGGGTACTTGTGCTCAGGGAGGGTGGGATGCATGGCAAAGTGAGGCTGCTTGCTGTTCATGGACATCATCTTGAAGGCTTGGCATGTAAATCCACAAACACTCCGAAAGTCCACGGGAAAGTGCGCACGCCGGCTCCCCCGGCCTCTATTCCGAGGCTGCAGCCGCGGCGACTGGCGGTGCGGAAGCGGTGGCCGCACTGGGGGCTGCTACTGCTACTGCAGCCGCCTTTGCCGCGGGGCACTCCCTTCGATCGCGCAGAGCGCCGCGCGCCGGCCCTGCAGTCCGCTTCTCCGAGAGCTCTAGCACGGCGCGCCGACGGGATGCACTCCTCTTACACCTGAGTCTCACTTCTCGCGGCCGGTCCAGGGAGCTCTCGCGAGAGCTCGCGGCCCCAACGCGCTGACAGGCATCAGCTGTCTCAGTCTGTCTGGCGCGCGCTCTCCCTCTTGGAGGCGTCGTGCGTCTCCGCGCGCGCGCGCTCGCCTAGCCGCGGACGGTGCGTGGGAGCCGCTCTTATAGTGACCACCGGCAAGGACAGCGCAGGTGATGTACCTGTAGCTGCCTGGACATGCGCACTGCCGCCTCACCTTTCCCACCACGGGTCTGGAAAGCTCAGAAGGGCCAGCTATTGTCTGAGGATAGGCACCTTTCAGAAGGAGGAACACAAGATGCTGGCATGCCCCTCAGTTTTTTTTTTTGTTGTTGTTGTTATTGTTTTTTTTTTTTTTTTTTACCCCGCACCTCAATCCCTGAATATATGCGCATTACTTTGGAACACCTCCTCTCCGGGATGTCTAACAAGCTGTTATATAATGTATACAGCTGGGCATTTGTATGTTAAATTATGCCCGCGTATTCCTTTGTATACAATATAAATAACAAAACAGAAATGCAGAAGATGCTGTCTTTTGCTGCAAGAACCTTTTTCTTTCAAGGTTTATAAATAGGTTCCTGGAGAATAATCGCGGTGACAGACATTTGTTTGAAGCAGTCAGACGCTATTGATTTCCTTATAATTTAATTTCCTCCACATACTTTGTTGTTGTTGTTGTTGTGAATATAACTGTGTCAGGCACTGCCAGTGACAGCCACTTAGGAGCCACAAGGAGCGCATGCTTTCTACTCAGGAAAGGCTGTTGAAATGAAATTGTGCCTTTCTCTTATTGTTTGTCTCCTTTAACGGTGTACAAACCCACGTTTCAAACGAACTCCAGGTGATCTGAGGCTTCTAGCAATCAAAAGGAAAAAAATACTTAAGAGTGTAGATGGGATCCTTCCCTCTCCTCAGCGTACACACACACACACACACACACTTTATACTAGACACTCCAGGAAAAGGAAATCGCTTCAGAGAAAAGGGAGTAAGATGTTGAAAAGAACTTCCATCGTTCTTTTCCATCCTTTTGGCTTCTTTACCTCTTATCTCGAGTTGCTTATATATTTTTGCTTTAATAGGAAACAGGATTAAGTCAGCTTGTAGGAAATCATGGTTCAAAATATCAGTTCACATCATTTTGAAAGAACAGTTCCAAACTCTCTGGTCCAGTTTATATACATATATTATATATATTTGTTATTATTATGTGGCCTCGAGTCGGACCCAACTCATAGCGACCCCTCCTTGGGTTTCTGAGGCAGTATCACTACGGAAGTAGATTGCCCCATCTTCCTTCCTAGGAGTTGATAAGTGGGTTTGAACCGCCAGCCTTCTGGTTAGCAGTCAAGTGCCTTAGCCACTATGCAGAGTATATATATATATATATATATATATATATATATATATATATATATTCAAAACCTAAGAAGAATTAATCAATTAGCCAACCTGTTAAATGGCCCTATGGCCCTTTCGTGACAAGTGGATCAAGGGCCTCTCGGGGGAGTCACAGTTCAGGTGGCTGAGTCCCCAGGGACTCAGTGCTTGCCCGAGGTGATAATAACGGCCCAGATGATATCACATTTGCGGCAAGAGAGCTAGAGAGCAGCAAGGGGCTGCTTATAGGAGGCAGAGATCAGATAAATAAAATTTCTAGTCTATACCACACCAAGGAGATTTGCGTTTCCACCAAAGAGCAGATCTCATTTCTATAAACCTAAATTTGAGTTCCTGTGGATTTTATCTCTCATTTGCACATTCGCGTGTGTATTTAGCATACACACTTACCTACTCATATTCCAAGAAGAGCCCACAGGCGTCACCATGGCTTTTTCTTTCTTTTCGCCCCCCCCCCGCCTTTTCTTCCTAGCCGGAGAGGGCAATGAGAAGAATGTTCACTCGCTGGTGCAAGAAGCCGCGTCTCCATCCATTACGCGGTCTCCTGGGAGCGCTAAATGCAACTTTATCTCTGTGGGGACTGGACGACTAGCGGGACAACGCTGGAGAGGGAGAGCGAGTCCTAAGGTAGTCGTCTCACCGGAGGTCCAGGCTTAGCCTAATCCTTCCTGACACCCACCGCGGTGGTTTTCTGCTCTTTCCCAAGGAGTGGGGAAGCGTGTCACAGAGGGCGAGCGCCGGGAGGTTGGCCGCCAACCGGGGAAAAGCTGACCTTTAGGGTCTCAGAAAGGTACTAGCGAAAGGCAACCGGAAGAGCGCAGGCTTGGGGCCAGATGGAACCTCAGATGCCAGGCGGGCCTCCGCTAGAGCCCTTGAGGACCCAAGCGGCTCTCGGTTTACCCTCTGACGTTGGGAGGGCCGCAGAAGAGACACCCGCAGGGCCTGAGGTCAGGAGTTCATCGTCCGCCAAGACTCTCCTCCCAGCTCGCTTCTCTTTGAACAACTGGAGTCCCTACTCGCCTCAGGGTGGGGCCAGACCTTTGCCCAGAATATGCTGCTTTTTTCTGGGGCTAGAAGTGTAAGGGTTGTGAGTACAGTCCATCCCTTCTCCACCCACGGATTGGAAGCCCAACTAGGGCACTTCTATCCACCGCCATGGCGCTTAGAACGGTGCCTGTCACACAGAAAAAGTGCACCATAAATCAGTATATCTGTGTAGGAAGGAAGAGAAGCCAGCTGGAGAGGGACAGGAGAGAGAGCCAGAGAGGGCTGATTGGGGGCAAGCAGGAAGATCTCTGAAGGGTCTCCTCTCTCGCTAAAAACGGAGATGGAGATTGGGCTGTAAGCCTGTGCCTTCCTTAAGCAAAGCTATAAATCTTGATTTCAACCTGTTCTTTTTCAGAGGTCAGTGATTAAGCTCCTCTCTCATTTCTTTTTTACTTTTCCCTCCTTCCTCAAATGCTTGCTGAGCACCAGTCTGGGCCAATGCAAGATGCTGGAGATAAAATGAGGTATAAAATACTGCTACATGCCCTCCAGGAGGTGACAGTCTATTGGGGGGGGGCAGCCACAGGTGAAGATGAGTTGGTGTGACAGTTGTGATAAGAAGGCATTGACCAGAAATATGGGGCAAGAGGTAATGCTTGGAAAGTGATCCTCTGACATTTCTGCTCAACCTCAAGCTAGAGGGTAGTGAATATTGGGATATGCAGACAGTTCCTTTCCTGTCAAATCTCTCTCCCTCCTTATTCTGCATCAGAAGGGTGGTGAGCCTGGGCTCAGCTCACCAATATGTCACTGCTTTGTTTTCCTGATTTGGCAATGGCAGTAACTGACTGGCCCCTGCCTGTGCTAATGATGCCCACATGGGGTCTGAGCCTTGGCATAGATTCCTGGGCATTTCACCCCTCCCCCTTCTTCTTGTTTAATAACCAACACAGAACTCCTCATCTCATAGCTTTGCATTTTATCAAGAAAGGAATAACGAATGCACAGCTATTGATTTCCAAGGAATTTCGCCTCCAGGGACAGGGAGTCTATCATCTGGATCAGAGACACATTTCTTTTCCTCATTAATTAATTTTCTACTCTTTCTTTGGCAGGCCCCACTTCACATTTCCTTTGGCAGCGCCTCTTTCCCGAGCTCCGGGAGTAGACATTCGTAGGTTTGAGTGAGGGCCGTCAGGAGAAGTGTTGTGCAAGGGCCAGCACTGTTGGGGGGTGTGTGTGAGCGCTCTTCGCTTTTGCCCCCCTCCCCACCTCTACCCCTTCCTGGTCTCCAGAGAGCTCTCCTGACAGCTGCTGCCTGGGGCGCTGCCTTTCTCCGACCAAACTGCACCAGGAAGTTAAAGCTGGACTCAGCAGCCACTAACTGCACGCACCCCACCCCCCGCCACATACACACATTCCCTTTACCCTCTGCCCCCGACTCCAGGTTGAACCAGATTTGTTTTTCCAGGTTTAGGGCCACGGAATCGGTTCTGGGGAAGTGCAAGTAAGTATGCGGAGGTTGTGTGCTTACAGAGGCGCAGCGCGGGGCCTCACACTCCTGCCAGAACCCGGGGCTCTGGCCCCACCTGCAGGGCACAGGACCCAGAAGCTCTGCTCCTGCAGACTCCGGGTGGAACTGCCCAGTTTGAAACGCGGCACATTTCACTGAGCAGGCAGCGCCCTGAGTTCTGAGGAGATCTCCCCAGAGTCGGTCGACTTGAGAGGCCTCTTGGGTTGTTTGAAGCACCGTGTGAAAGGTGCTGGCGGGGGAAGAGCAGGCCCAAGGGCCGCGGGTTCAGTTGTCCGCAGAGGAGCTGCACATTGGCTGTCCAGGGGCCTCCGGCTCCTCCAGACACAAGGGTCGGGTGGAGGAGGGACTGGTGAGTTACCTCTGCTTTCCCTCCCAGAGCTCTTTTCAGGACCACGCCTTGGCTGCTTTGACACTAAGCTCTACCCATCGTGCTCCAGACCCCGTCCCTCCCACGGTGACAAAGACTCGACTCCTCGTTGGCCCCAGGCCCCAGGCCCTCCCCCCTACAGTTTGCGTAGCCGCGACGACGAGCCTGCCCTGTCCTGGGCGGTACCTATGCCCTCGCGGCCCGCCCGGCGCAGCCCAGCACCGAGAGGCGAGTCCTGGCTGCGCTCTAGCCGGCGGCAACGCCGAGATTTCCCGAAAGCCACTGTTCTCCCTCCAACCGCCCCGCCCCCAACACCTTGCCTCACAGTCCTCTCCTCCCTCGGTTCCCAAGCCCCGGGTGGGTAAGTTATTGGGGTCCGCCGTGATCTCTTCCGAGGCTCTCTGAG